AGAATGCAAAATCCTGTATTAAGTGTCAGCTGATAAATAATAATCTAAAAGATATTATTTAAAATCCCATTGCTTCCACACAGAACAGTGTTTTTCTGTCATTGGAGTTGTGCTCCTGTTTGCAATTTTGCCTGAGTGTGTTTGCCCACCATCCACAGCCACCCCAAGTTCCACAGCACATTCAGCTGGAACCACCAGCTCCTCTGGCTTGTGATACAGAATGTGAGCACAGGCTGAAGGAACAAAGGAGGCAGGAGATGGTAGCTTTTAAATCCAGTTTTCCCAATCCCAGAAACCACCCTCAGTCTTTTAATTTGGTATTTTACTTCTTTATTTAGTATTTTACTTCTTTATTTAGTCTTTTCCCATGTGAACTACTCTGTTCACAATTTGTATACCTGTGACTTCGTCCGTAAGAGTGATAATTGATTAATAAATAATTTATTAACAACTCCCTGACAAGACAGGGACAGGATTCTCCCGGGGAAGTATACTTTCCTCATGTTTCTTTTAAAGATGTCAGATGTCTACCTTAATTGCACAGAATCAAAGCCAAACTCCATTGACGTCAATGCAGTTACTTGGGTTTTATTAATATCAGATAAATATAAAAACAGTTTCAAGCACAAATTCACAGAGAATAATAAAACACCCACACAAACCTCCAGTTGAGTTGTTCCTGGTGCTGCTACTTCCCTCATTTGGAATGTATGGCTGTAGTGCCTGTGACTGTGCTGAGACCAGAGTACACCTTTGAATCGTCTCTTCTCCCCTTGAGAATATAATGTGCAGAAAATGCCTCTAACACCACGGTAATGGGGTGAGATTAGCACCAGAATAAACAGCTCCAGACTCAGATAATATCAGGGACCTGGGAGCAGGAGTAGGCTCTGCAACTCCTTTCCCCTCCTTGCAGGTGCAGGACTGCCTGTGTTCAAGCTCCAGTGTGGTGCAGCTGTGTAACCTTGGAGCTGAGTGATGTGGAAGGACCGGCGTGACAAAGTCCTGAGAGAACACCTGGGGCCAAGGCAGCTGGGCACTGGGGCAGGGGCCCTTGTGAAGCCTGTGCACCCCCGTGGGCAGGGCTGTGCCCAGCCCTGTGCCTCGCTGGTCCCAGCCTTGCCGTACTGACCCGGCTGCCTGGCTTCCCTCCAAACCTGTCCTGTCCCAGCTGATCTCTCAGCCAGCACTGGAAGCTAGTGCCATCTCATTCACAGGACACCCAGGACTGAATTTAGTCACAACAAATTACCTTAAAGAGCCCTAACTATTGAGTAAGCAATGACTTGGAAGCACATGCAAGTAGAAAAACTGATGTGCAGAAAAGATGGTTTAGCATTCATTTGGTTTCCCTAACACTAATTACAACAGGAAGAAGAGTTCCTTCTGTTTGAGTGAATCTGTTTCTTAGGTTCCTAACCCAAACTATCAAGATGCTTTTTGATTTTGCTCTGAAAAAAATTGAAGAGTTTTAGAATTTTACTGAATAAAAGTAGCATCACCATGCCCTTGATGGATGTCAGCTGCAGTAGCTCTAAGGGAGCTGTGAGATACCCTGGTGCTGGTCTGCACTAGGGAAGGAAGGAAGATCCTGGGAAAGCTTCTTGTCAGTGGCTCCAGAACATCTCCTCAGCAATTCCAGGTCAAGAGACAGATTATGACACCTCTGTGGCAGCAAGATGATCATTTACCAAATGAAAATGCCAGCAGCCTGTCAAGCTTGTAAGTAAGTCCAACAGCTCCAACTTTATAAACCTTAAGCTGGAATTTAACCATACAGTGTTTCACAGATAAGGCTTAAAAGAGCATAGTTTCATTGTTTTCAAGTTGTTGTTTTTGGCTTTTTGGTTTTTTGGGTTTTTTTTTTTTTTTTTGGTCTCTACTTCTGGGTTTTCTGTTCCAGAACTTCACAGTTCAGTGGTGTTACTGAATGCCAAGGAGTCAATCCTCAGTAACAGGCCTCTGAGGCTCTTTGGGACTAATTAGTTTGAGAAGAAAATAGCTGCCAGAGTTTGGAAAGACAAATTGGGGGTCAGCTACTTTGTTCCATCTCTCTTTGCCATGTCCAGTCCCTCCTTTCACTGGAGTCCAGAGGTCCTGTGATCCTTATTACAACTTCGTAGCAGCTCTTAGTTGAAAGGACATTTGAATGAAAGTTCATTACAGATCGCTACATTAACTACTTTTCAGACATGCCTCTCCTTTTCAAACAGCAAGGTTCAAAACTTTCACAACTGGAAGACACCCATGTGCTAAGCATTATTTTTTGTCAACTTTTTAAACTCTGTGGTACATCTGGACAGCAACAAATCAACCGAGCTGTTTGACTTGGGTGGAGATCAGGATCTTTCCATGAGCCTCTTACCCGAAGGAACAGGGCAGATCTTAGCGGGGAGGAATGACAGCCTTGTGGTAACGCCTCAGGCAAGTGGCTTGGCAGAGGTGACCTCTGGGGGAGCACCACATCACAGGTACACTGGCAAGCCACTACCACAGCAAGGTAAAACATTGGACAAAAGCATTGGACACATTTCTCTGCCTACTGCAATCCCTTCAAATCACTTTTCCCATCTTTACTCCTCACCTCACTACAAGCCCGAGCTGTGCACGCTCAGGAGCAAAGAGCACACTTTTATCTAACAAATGTCCAACCAGATCCAACTGGAGGCACTGGCCTCTAACAACAACTCATAGGTTTTAACGGATAAAACCTGGCAATTTTATTTCTTACATGCACAACAACAGTCAGAATTTCAAACCCTGCTTGAAGCTGCTGAGCCCCAAGCAGAGCTGGCAGCTGAGCAGCTCCTTGTCATGCTGGATGAAGGGAAACCGCTGCCAGAGGCTGCCAAACGGCAGCAAAGCTCCCAGTCTCAGGCTCCTGCAAGGAGACGAGGGTTTGAAAGCTGAGGCTGATGGACCCTGCCCAAGGGCAGTGTTCACACTGAGCTCTTCTAGCAAACACGGTCCAGCACCAAGTGAGGGGAATCGCCCAATGCTGTTTCCTTCCCGGGTGCCAGAAGTCTAACTTGGAAGCCTGGAGCAGGTTTTATCTGAACTTCAAGTTGCCTTTTGAAGATGTACTTGTTATTTTAATCAGATAGCAGAGGCAATACATTCAAAGACTCATGAAACTTTTAAGTCAGACTTCCTTCCCTAAAGAAGTAGTCAACCAACATTCAATTTTTATGAGCTGGTGGAATCATTGATTAATAATCTGAGACAGAAACGGCAATGTGAATGTGAAAACAGGGTCAGAAGTGTAACTCAGCACCAGGAATTTCACAGTGGCAGCCTCAGCACTTCTAGAAGCCTCCATCCACCATGACTGAAATTAGGGTACCACTTTGTGATACACTCACTCTGATCCACCTGTGACCTACTACAGACAAGAACACTTCAATTTTCTACATTCTCTACATATTTTTTACAGCAAATCTACCATCCTATAGCTTAGGTATGACATTCCATCACTTCACTGACCCTATGAAACACTTTACTGGGTAATTTCCTAGTTTTCCTGCAGGAAGGAACAGGTATGTCTTGCTAATCTTGACCTCCTGAAGAAAAACCTAACACCCAGAGATTATCCCTATTGCTGGCAGACTGCAACTGCCACCAAGTCTGCCCTGAAATGGGACTGACCACCCCTGAAATGGTACTTCACTGGTGTCACCACAAAAACCTGCTTCAGGCAGAAACCTTCTGGTCATGAGAGTAACACTTATCAGTGTGTGCTCACAACAGTTACACAAGGGAAGCATGTGCCTGCATCAGGAGGAACAGATGTCTTCCTGAGAGGGTACACAGGGATTAGTAATCCATCTTCCAGGTTCCCAAATATGCATGAAAACGGGCATTTTGGAAATACAAACCTGGTTTAAACCCAATGGAGAACAGATTTTCTTTTAGACAAAATAAGCCAGGAATAAACCTGTCTTTAAATTTAAAATTGTAGGTTTGTATTACAGCAATAAAAAAGCACATAAAAGGGCACTTTGAAATGCTCCGTGGCTTTATTCAATTGTTCTTGTGCTGTTTGCCACAGCTGCTAGTGCCCAGTGACTCACTGCCTCGGCCACATGCAACACAGGACACTGCAGAACAGAACTGCAGCTCAAGGCACCCCTGCTGCAATTACCCAAACAGAGTCTCTGCTTTTATACAATTCCAAGTTCTGCCAGAACAACCTGACTGGAAAAAGCAGCTCACTGTGCAAGGCAGCCGTGATCTCTCAAAACTTCTCAGACTGAATCCAACAAAAAAACCCAAAACCAAAACCCACTCTCGATTTTCCTGCCAGGCAGCTGTGAAGGGCAAAAAAACCCCCACCCTTAACTCAAGCCTGGCCAAAACCTGTCACACACCATGTCATACCAGGTTCCTGATTTTGATGGACCAGGTTTTAATTTATCCTGCTTCTAAAGGAATCTGATTCCTCAACATTGGTATTTAAGACAGCCACTTCCAGACATAAGCAGGTGAACTTTGGGTACCTCTGTGCTCAGGGTGGCAGATCTCCTCCTCTGCCCCCTCCCTCTCCAAATGAGGCTGGAGCTGGACACTGCTTGGCCTGTGCACAGCTGGACCTATGGCAACAGCCAGCTTCTCAGCACACACCAACTGCAGCAGTACCAGCTCCTGCTGCTTTAATCTTGGATTTGGAGCTGTTGAAAACCACAGGAAAGGAAAAAAACCCAGCCAAAACCCAACTCATGTATGATTAAAACAGAAGTTTCTTTTTTTAAAAAAACAAGCTTTCAAAGATCAGGATACAGACAGCTGTCCTGCTTTAAGAGGCTGTCAGCTGCACATTGTTGATTACCCAACATCTGCTTCTTGCCCAGGTTTCAAATCTCCACTGTTGGAACAGCATCTAGGGTTAAGGTGGGTTTTTTTTCTCTCATTCAAGAGATTGTCATTGTGTGATCAGCTTCGCAAATTTCATTGAGCTGCGTCAATACTTACTTGGAAAAGCAATAAGGGGGTTGAATCACAAATGAAGATTGACCAAAACCAAATCCTTTATTTCCACAACTGTATAAATGTGCTCCGAGTATGTGTCCAACACAAGTTAGAAAAACAAAATAGAACATGCCAGTTGCAAACTAGATCAGTTCACCGACGTGCTGACTCCTTGGTATTAGGCTTAGTTACACAAGACCAGTCACAGTAAAAAGATACATTTTAGAGTACAAAGTAGCAGGATGTTAAGCCATTTCAGCTTGTGCACATACAAGTCACACTTCTGGCAGAAAATGCAGAGAAGTTTGCATTACTATGCTGGAAGCTATGTTGCATCACTTTAAATGGCATCAATATCGATATCATCATCTTTGTTGTTTGCAGGCTTCACAGTTTCAACTTTAGGTACACTGGCAGTTGTGGAGTACACCACCTGTGGAGACAAGACACTTCCTTCAGCTACAGCACATACTACCATTAAGCACTGGAATAATTCCAACACCAAACCACCCTCCTGACCATGGTCATGAACCCCTGCTTTGTAAGGCAGAGCTGTGCACATGCATCTGGAAGAAAAAGAATCTCCTACTGAGGAGCAGAATAATACAATGCTGGGAGGAGAACACCCAACCAATCCCTGTGTAAAAACACTCCCAAGCCACTGCCAGCTGGAGTGTAACCAAGAGATTTTTACCTAGGCCTAAACTGTGAGGAAGATGGTCTGTTATTCTTCCACCAGCTTATCTAACAAACACACACCCCCACTAACTCATCTACAACATGAGACATGACACTTGATACCTCCTGTCAACCTTGCACTGCATGAGCTGCGACAGTGCTGTCACTGTAGAATGGTACAGTCTTGGGCTACCCAGGTGCAATTGCATTACAGTCATCTCATGCAGACATGTGACAACTAACACTTAAAGCATTGCAAATGGAGGGTTCCTCTTGTTCCTGCACAGTAATACCCCAAGTAATCTGTTTCAGAGTGCACCAGAACAAGGTTACAAGACTTAAGCATGCAGGAACAGTGCAGCCTTGGAGCTGCTGACAGTAAACGAGCCTTTCCTACCTCTATGTTTTCATCTTCATCCTCTTCTTCATTACCGGAAGATTCTTCTTCAGCTTCCTTCAGCCATTTAATAAATGGTTCTGCTTTGACACGGATTTCTTTGGCAAGCTCCTTTGAAACATATTTCTTTGAGGCCTGAAAGACAGATACTTTGTGTGAACACTGAAGACTTTTACACCAGATTGTACCCAAATACTGCCTAACTGGAACTCTAATCTCACCCACTGCCTTCCACAGCCCATTTTTGTGAAGGAGGCTTCTTGCTGTACAAGCTACACCAGTATGGAGAAGCCAGATACAGTAGGCTACCTTCAGGCATTTAATTGCTGTAATACATTACATACTGCCCTTTACCTTTTCTGCCCAGCCAAGGATGACTTCTTCTTCCAGAAGATCTGCATCATACATTTCCTTCAAAATATGTGGTATTTTTGAAATAAGCTGAGACTGATGCATAGCTACCACACACTCGAAGCCATGGAGAAGGTACCTCTGAGCTTTCTTGTTGTTGTGGCAGAACTGTGATAAAAGCAAAAGTGATGGAATGAGCTTTTTTACCCTCTCTCCAGACTGAATAGAGAGAGCAGAAGCAGCTCTACAAGATTGCAAAGTTCACAATAGTTCATACTATCTCTTCCCAGCAGCTCCACCTAGCTAAGGAGTTTAAAAATAAAACACTACAAGAAGTCCTTCCCCACAGTACCAAGCAACTGCTACACAATACTCCTAAGAGCTGTCACAATGAGTGCAAAGAGATGGCTTACACGAAGGAAGTGACGTCTGTATTTCCTGATTTGTTCACGAATCTTTTCGTCAAAAAGGACTTCAGTGAGAACAAGTGGGCCCATAGCCTTTACATCCAGTCTCTCTGCTTCTGCTACAATGTCTTTGTCAGAAGTATCGATGACACCTTCCTCCTTCTTTTTCTAGAGGGAAACAGGCAGAGAAACATTTTAATGCCACTTGAGGTCTGCATTAATGCTCCTAGCAATCTCCCCTTCCCACTGCTGATAGAGCCAGTACTTTGCAGAAGCTTGAGCAAGTTGCTTTTAGTTTCCTTACAAACATTTTGTACAATTACAGCTGAGTGATTACATCAAGCCAACAACCAGAGGATAGTTACCTTTACAAAATCAAATAGTAAGTTGACTCTCTCTTCTACAGTTCTTTCCAGGTCTTCACTAAGTGTGAGGTTCTTCGCATGGTCACTGATTTCATCCATTCTACGCCTCTGGGCTTCTTCTGTTGTGTCCTCACCCCAGTCATCATCATCCTCCTCCTCCTACAATACAAAACCAAGAGATCCACACAATATTACTGCAGGCTTAGTATTACATGTGGGTAGAAATTATAGACTTGAGAGCATCTTTATAAAACTACAGAAATGTTTGTAGTGCAATTTGCAAGTCAAAGATAATCAAAAAAGTGCAAAACATATGAAGTAAGAAACGGAAGCTAAACCTAATTCTATAGCCATCTGCAGGGCTACCTGAACTGCAGTTCAACCATTCTACCTAGTACACAGAAGACAATCCAGGTGCCTGAAAAGGAGTGAAAAAGGATAGGCAGCTTTCACTTAGCAAGGTGCACAAATGCTGGTGCTGATGAGCTGATAAAGATGCTATAGAGGAAAATCCGGGACCCCTCTACTCCAGCACTAAGTTCTGGATACAGTAAGACTTCTAGGTGCAATGCTGACCAGCAAGGAATGCCAGTGACTTCAGAGGTTTAAATCTGAGCAATACACCACACACCCTTATCTCCCCACTTTCCCTTCTACTTACCACAACCTGTGGAGGAGTAATCTCCTCTGGTGGTGGGGGTGGAAGTGTCTCATTGCTGGACACAGAACCATTCTCTTTGTCCTTGCCTTTTCTGTTCTTCTTCTCCTTTTCTTTCTTTCCTGTACCAGTGTCACCACTTTCTGCAAGTGAATTTTAATGTTTTGTTCTATGAACTAGAGCAAACTACAAAGTCCCTGCACCTCTGCCAAATCCCCAAGTGGGTTTGGATGCTTTCATTAGCTGCAAGTTACGGGTAGTACCCATCCCCAAACACACTCAGGGAAGATGCACATTTGGTGGGGAAGCCCCCAGCTGCAAAGTCCTGCTTGTCACCAAGATTGTCCAAGTCTATATAACAGGTGACCTCACAAAGCAGAGACCCCTGGAATAGGTTAGACTTTTCTACTCTAGCAAGCTTAAATTGCAGCAGGCAACTAAATGCTTACTACAGAGTGTTGCTTGCACAGATTACAGTTTGTGTTTACTACAGTTTTTACTTCCTGCTCTGACATTTCATGCTGACCTAAAGGAACAACTGCCAAGAGCTACTGCTATCTACCTTCCTTCCTTGTAAGTTTTGTCCTGCACAGGCAAATCCAGCTTTTACGGAATAGCTCTACTTGGGAAGGACACATTCTAAGGAGGAAAGACATTACCAGCACAGCTCCTTCATCGTGATCCCCCCAAACACACTCTAGGAGTATGCTGGTGCCTTTTTACATTTCAATTAGATGTGAGCTATTTACACTCTACCACTAATACAGAAGTTCTCTTTATCCCAAGAAGCAAGGAAAGGCACTTACCAGGTGGGTTTTTGAGAATGAACGTGCAGAGTTTATGGTTTGTGTCAAGCATGCCTCGATAGCCACAGGCTTTGCAAGAGTTACCTATAGTTTGTTTCTTAGGATTGACATGCTGTAAAGAGAACAACCACAAGTTAATTTACTACTTACAGAATAACTGCATCAAAGCCTGATGTCTATGTTTTAAGCCAGAGGTTTAAATACTTTGTATCACCCTCTAAAGACAAAGTTTAGAAGTAGCAATTTATCCCAGAAGTTAGGAACTGTTAGAGATGTAAAACCTTCCCAAAGCATGCAAAAGAATGTGTACTTGATTTTCTGTTCATAGTTACTGAAGTCGTTTACTTTGCACTGCTTTCACCAATGTCTGACACAGTGTTTCCAGCGTGTCATTGTTAATGCAGACAGAGCACTCACCAGATCAGTTTCAGGATTCTCACACTCAGGACAGAGAACAAATTTTTTAATGAATCCATCCAACATGTCTTGCAGCTTATTCGCCTCATGAGATCCATTGACAATGTAACGGTCATTCTTAACATCAAACTGGGTCTGTGCTCCCAGCTCACAACCAAAAAATTTGGTAGGATCTGTAAAGGAAGAATTATAGCCACTATCACATTCACATCTTTGTTGTGACACTTAAACAGCAAGGAAATAGGCTGCTGATTCTGTCTATTTATTATTTAACCCTGAGATAATCACATTTCTTTCTTACAAATTTTAAGAGTACTAATACTTTACTAGCTAATTAACACTACCGCTTCAAACAAAAAAGCATTTAAAAATGCTGTGTCATTCCACACTACTACTTACACGTTGGAGGCCGATTAAGCGCCTTTGCAACGTCAACCATGTTGACTATAACTGTCTTGATTCCATTTCCTTTGCCCTCCACCTGAAGAAAACAAGTAATATTTTAAGGTTAAATGCTTGCAACAGACAGACCCAGTGTGCATTTCCCATTTACCTACACCAAAATTCTGCTTAGGAGTGATCTCCTCCCAAGACCCAATATGCACTTAGTGTGGACCGAAGGAGCAGACCCCCTCCCTGCCCTGAGTGGCCAAGCATTACCATGACCTCTCTTTCCCCTCCTGGGAGAACACTCCCTGCTTCCAGCTGCTGCTAAGGAAGTTACCTTGGCAATCAGACGGGGCATTTTGTAGCGATAGAACTGATCTGAAACACTGCGGTTGACGTTGACAGACATTTTGCCTTATTAGTAGCTTTATCAATAAGATGAAGAGATCTTTGATTGCAGTTTTTTGGTATCTTCTGTCTGGAGAAGACGGGATGACATAAACGACTGCAAGAGTTCTCGGTCTCTGACATGAAAAAATTTTCGCCACTGAGGCTGTAAGGTTCTTGCTTGTATGCTATGTTTCCCCAATACAGGTACCAGTGGCTGCGCAACAGCTCTGCAAGTGTTAACACAAAAAAAAATTAAGTTTCTCTTAATGTACATCAATCCACTCTTGCTACAAAGCTATGTAAGGGATGATATCTAGGGTGAGAAAAAGTTTGTTATGCTATGGCTTTCTTCAACCTATGGAACTGAAATCCATCCTTGGCTTGTACTGCTAAGGAACTTTTCTTTAACTGCACCACAAAGCTTTCCACCCTCTCTTACCACCCTAAAACCACTGAACAGCTTACAACTACTTTTTTATACAATTAACTCCAGCAGGAGTTCTGGGATCACTAAGGAAGGGCACACTCCTCGATTTATTATGCAGACCAGTGACTTGCACCATAAGGGTCACGTGGCATGGTTTCAGCCTGAAGGGCACAGGAAATCAGGAGAAAGATTTGGAAATCCATTTCAAATTCCACATCATAGCATGAACCTATCACAAACTGAAGTCTGCCAAAACGTTGCGAAATATAAGATGAAGCAGCAGCAATCTGTAGCCCACCATAGTTTCTACATGGCTTACCAGTTTTTGGATCGGAGTGGAAAAGAGTTGAAAATTACGTAATTCTCCCTCTCACTTATGGATTCTCATAGCAGCTTCTGTTGAGTTCTGACTTAACAATAAGCCTGATAAAGTCTGACAGAAGTTGCTTCACTGTAGAAAGCCTAGCAATGCAGAGGTACAGAGCAGTGCAGCAGCTTTTCCAGTTGATTTTTTCTTGGGGGAAAGGGAGGAGGGGGAGGAAGGGGAAGGAGGATGAATCCTATTATTAAAGTTGCCTTGAGCAGTATTTATATATTTAAATTAACACGTGCGTCTATAATCAGATCTAGGAGTACTTAAGCCACAATTGGATGACTACACAGGCAACCCTGACTACAGAGCATGGCTATTCTGACGCGTCATCGTGTTGTTATCGTTAATGACAGAAGCGTTGACACATTAAAAAAGCCTTCTTAGCATTTATGCGGAAGAGCGTGCCTATGGTGCAACTCGATCCGAGTCCCTCCGGTCACGTTTACAACTTCTTTACACGATAGGAACACAGATCTCTAAGCGCCTTGTGTTCTACATTAACCCTGATACAATTTTACCCTTCCTCGGCAAAAAGTACACGCAGACTCCGTTTAAAACACACCATTTCCCTCCCCAGGATATCTAAAAAGAGCCACAGCGTAACCTGACCACGTGTTTGAAGAAGTGCTGAGGAAGCAGCTCTCTCGGTGACCGCGTTCCCAGAAGGAGCGTACAGTTTCTCCCTCCTTCCAGAGTGCAGCATTTGTCTGCTGCAGGCTGAAGCTCCCTCTCCTGGTCCCTACGACACCTCATCCCAAGCACCACCCCCCCACATGCCGTACACGGAGGAAAGAGCGGGAAGGCACACCGACTCCCTGCCGCACAGCGCCGCGTCCCCGCCCCGCTCGCGGTGAGTCATAAATGCAGCAATTAAGCACTGAGTCAGCGCTGGGAGCCATGGGGGAGTCACCTCCGGCCGCGCATGCGCCGCGGGCCGGGGGAGCTCCACCGCCCCCCCCCCCCAGCCCGGGCCGCCCCCCGAGTGTCCCCCGGGGCCGCCCCTCGGGAGCGGGGCCGAGCGCCCCCCGCCGCGGCCGGTGGGAACTGCGCCACTGCCCCCCTCCGCCACAGCGCGGGAGGCGCGGCCCCGCCGCCGCCATCTTGTCTCGTCGCATGGCGGCGGCGAAATGAATATAAATAAATAATTAAAAAAAAAAAAAAAGAAAAATAAAGCCTCGGCCACCCACAAAGCAAACAATAACCCCACAGCTGAAAGTCTACTGCTTTTAGAGTTGAATTTTGTCGTGCGTTTTTACACTGCTTGTTCCCCCGGCCCCCTCCCCCGCCCCGCATTGCTTGTCTTCCCCCCTCCCGTTAAAGTCCCGGACGCTTCGTTACACAAAACCTCTGCAAATATCCACCGTTCACCGACAGCCTGAGGCCCCGGCCCAGCACAAACCGCCCGCCCCCCCCACCTCCACCGTCCTCACCCGCCCTAGCTCACTATTAGCACTCACCGTTTTCGTCCAATAAAGACATAAACCCAACGCTGCTCGCCCCGGGCTGCGACGAAGCCGATTGTGAGAGGAGAACAGGGCCGAGGGGGCGCTTATATCCAGACGGAGAGGGAGGCGGAGGCGGACGCCGCAGCCTCCGGGTCCCGGCGTCCTGGGGCGGGCGGTATCACCAGGGAGAGCGGTGCCGGGCTATCTGCGGGCAAGACACAATCAGGAGCATCGTTAGCGGCGGCACCTGTGAGGGAGAGGGAAGAGGAGGGGGGAGAAGAGGGAAGGGGGGAGGGAGAGGCGGCGAGAGGCGCGCAGGAGGGGCCGGCGGACGGGACCCGGCAATGGCTGCCCCGTACTCACCTCTAGAATGTTCTCGCTCCGACTGAACAACGCCAGAGCTGGGATCAATCAGCCAGTGGTGCGCCCCGCCCCCCGCCATCGCCATTGGCTCACCGCTCTCCTCGCTGCGAGGCTATTGGCTAAAACCTCTACCGTCGCCTCGCCTATTGGTGAAAGCCGCTATCAATCAAGACTTTGCCTCCCTCCCCCGTGCCCTCCCCCTCGCCAGTGCCCCAAAGGACATCGCGTCTACAGCGACCGAGTCTCGCGAGAGAGCGCGGGGCGGGGGGGCCGAGGCCGGACCGGTGCGGCGGGGCCGGGGCTGAGGGGGCTCCCGGGGCCTGAGGGAGTTCCCAGCTTCCCCCGGCCCCTCCGTCCTGCCCGGTGTGCCCAGACTCTGCCCCGGGGGTGAGGGAGGCGAGCTACTCCCTGGAGGGCAGTGACCCAGTGCTTGACATCCCAGCAACTATGTTACAAGTAATAATACAAAGAATTTAAAGCAATTAAGTTGCTGAATAAGTTGTGTTTTTCCTGCCCAGCCGGCTTTCGGAGTGTGGGGAAGAGCCTGTTATTTAACTCCAGTGTCATAAAGGCTCAGCGTTGGGTGGCTCTGGCTGCCCGGGCTGCCTTACAAAGGATGAACAAGTGTCATATGCAGCTACTCTGTTCTTAGTGGAAAATGTTGCCAGCCCTATGCAGCTGAATTGGGACCCTGAATGAAATGCATGTCTCGATTTATTTTCACGTAAAAAGCAGGAAACTTGCATCCTTTCTTCCCTGTTTCTTGTTCTTTCCCATCTTCTTCCATCTGCACTCCTCCAGTTTCACGGGAGTTATATGCTTTGGGTATTTTAGTGTCAATAATGCTCAAGTGGCAAGGAATTTTTTCCTGACTCTGTGAATTGAGTGGGCACCCAGCTCTGTTACCCCTATAAACACTCCCCAGCAGAGCAGTGCTCCTCAGCTCCTGTCACTGTCTTACTGAGTAATGTTGTAAAGCTTCTTGATGGCTCTGTGGGAGTATAGAGGAAAAGAGAGCAAGCGACAATGAAACTAATAGTGACACTAAATGATGTTACATACTCTAAATCTCTTCCTGCCTAAAGTAAGTTTTGATGTGTAGTTTTCCTACCTGGCTTTGATACCACATTGGTGTGGTCAAAGAGACATCCCTCCTGTTGGACCTTGACGTACATGTTGAACATTTTTGGTCTGATATGCAGAAGAACTGCGCACAGGAAGGTGGCTGATAAAGGATGTTTTCTTAGAAGTCAGGGAAGCAGGACTACTGCCACTTCCAGAAGCACACAGTGACAATAAAAAAGCTTGTTTCCTCAGCTGGAGCAACCAGAGAAAAATGTGCATGTCTTTCCATCAAAACTCTCACTGTGGCAGCTGCCCTTGCTACTTGTCTCCTTTCAGTATGTGGAATAGCTGGTCGTTCCAGCCAGGACACTCTCCTGTAAAACATCATGGAATGGTTTGGGTTGGAAGAGAGCTTAAAGGTCATCTAGTTCTAACCCCTCACCCTGGGCACGGACACCTTCCACCAGATCAGCCACATCCAACCTGGCCTTGGACACTCCCAGGGATGGAGGGTCCGTCATGTAAGTTTGTCTTGGACTTCACTATCAGCATTTGAAAAAGGTAAAAATTCTTCAGGATATGTTAAATGTCTCTTTGATAAATGCATGACAACACTGTCTGAAATGAAAGAAAGTGTTAGGGCAAAATAAGGAAGCATCTCCAAAGTATGTGAGGCTTGGCAGTTACCATGAGGGGAAAAAAGTCATAAAAAAGTGTGAGGCAAGAAAAGCACAGCAGAAAATCCTTTGCCGTGAAACTATGTGGCACATATAACTTGCTAAATGCCTCCTGTCTGTGGCTTTGGCTCGGTATTACAACACCTAGGGGGTTAATAAATTACAAGTGTTAAAGCATACTGTTGCCAACACTACTTAGTGAGCTGCTGGGAAAGAGACCCTGGATTTGGTACTGTTTGACATTATGAACAAATCTGAACTCTTACAATTAATAGCATAAAGAAAGATAGTTTTTAAATATAGTCTATAAATGGACAAAAGTTAAAGAGGTACCTTTTAAGATGGTGTTTGTTCTGCAAAAAGCAGGTCTCATCCAGGTGAAGTCACATGACATTCTCCTGGATTATGCAAATCAGACTAAAATTGTGGATTATTGACTTCATGGTGACTAGTTGTTGACTTTTTTCCTCAGTAGAAAATTCCTTAACATTAAACGTTGGATTTTGAATATTTTTACTGAATCTTAATATTTACAGTTTGTTCATTTTAATATTTCATGGTATGGACAAGACAGAAAAATATTTTCTCTTCTCCCACTTTAAAATGTCACAGTTTCATGAATCCTGAAGTTCATAGTTCACATTGCTTGTGTGACCTTCAAAATACACACTACTTGTGTACTTTGCATTTTATTGACAGAAACTATGCAGGTTTTAGACATAATTTTGTAGATACGACATTTTAAACTACATTAGTAAGCCAGGTTTTGCAAATGGTTTAATGTCTAAGAATAGAAAATTTTCCACAGTTGAATTTAGAGTGTATTTCCTTATCACAGAAATGTATTATTATTGCTGAGCTCAGCCTTGAACAAACCAAGTTTGTTCCATGTTGCCTTAGCTGGTTTTTATTAGAAATAACCAAGAGTCAATGACTGTGACAATGCAGCAAAATCAAAACTCTGTTGAAATTCTTAACATATTTAAAATCTTCAGAATTAGGTTTGTAATCTGAACAGTTACAATGTGTCCTTTTAATCCCTGATTGCCAACTTGATGTCCTTCTGTGGTTTATTCAGCGAGTTTGTCCTCTCAGTGGTGCGGCTGGCTGCAAACATAACCCTAATTCAACACGCTCCTGGTAACCTTGGCCTTGAAGGATGTTTTGTCTCCGCCGTGTTTTCTCCCAGTGGCTGGGTCAGAGCTCTTTTTTCCTCCAGTGCAGGCAGGAGCATTAGCACCTGAGTAAGGGATTCCTCCTCGTGCCATCTTCACGGCTTTGGCTGTAATTTCAGGAGATGGAAGGAGGGCCAAGCTCATCTATAGTTACGTGGAATAGCAATAGCCTTTCTTCCTCCTATCTTGGCAATGTGTAGAGAAAGTTTAATTATTTACATGTCAGGTTGGAATAGGTAACCTTTAGGGAAGTGTGGGTCCGAAATCCATCGGGATTGACACTAGACATTGATCAGTTACAAGGGCAGAGGTTAATTCTGGTTTTACTGTTCAGGAGCTTCAGAGTAATTTCTGCCTGGCACCTCAGTGGTCATCTTGGGGAGGTTCACTTTGCGAAATGCTTTTCTTTCCATGCTCTGTAGCACCATCATTCCTGTTAGCTATTTTTAGTAGCTCAGGAATTAGTAAACAGAGAAAAACATGAGAGCAAGTGTGTGATGTTAGACTTACATATAGCCATTATTTATGGCAGTTACTTTTGTTTCTTCTATTACTATGCAGAAATGCTAAAATCTCCCAGCTAGTGTTTGGGTCTGAGTGCTCTGAAAGGGCTCAGTGTCATCTGACAGCATGAGCTCTGCCTCAGATCTGGTCTTGTCACCAGTGAGGTTCCCTGTACCCTCCCTCTTTCTCTTCCAGTGTATATCTGCCTATACAAGGCAGTCACCACGGCAAGGAGAGGCAAACAGCTTCTCTGCAGAATATAAACGAGTGTTTGATAGCAGTGAAGACCCTGCCTTGGAAACCTATCTTTTCTCTGTGTGCCTCAGCAGTAAGTGGAATGCTGGTGACAGGAATCAGGGAAGCCAGGCTTTCTCAGTTTGTCTAGGTAGCAGCTTTGTCTATGGGCCTAACGGCAACCACTACCATTATCCAACAGTTGCATGCCTGTGGTTGGCAAATCTGCCTGCTACATTTATATGGTAGCTGAAAGAAGTGGATGTGGAAGATAAGGAGTCTCTGGGAATACAGCTTCCAGTGGAGAACATGCTGTCAAAGCTGCCTGCCTGTTCATAATGCCCATTAGTAACCATTGTATTTACATTTCCCTGCTTCTTGTCATAGCCTGGCTTCAGACACCAAGATCTGCCTGTGTGTTAAGTTAAATCTCTCTTCCAGTACCATTTTAGCAACCTGCACTTCTATTTCGTTAAAGGAATTGCTCAGGCCCTCTGCAGCTGTTGTGCTTTACCAACAGATCCACAGATTAATCTCCCTTCATCCTTTCTCTTTGGCTTCTGATGATCTGGCAACCAGTACTGTGATTATCACTATAGATTTTCCAGCAGATTTAATTCTAAGTAGTAAAAAAGAGTAATGAGTACTTAGAGTTACCTTTTGGCTTTCTACTTTTCCAAAGGGAAATGTATGGTAGCCCCTGGTATTGAGAGCCTATCTCCAAATCTCCTCCCAGTCTGGGGACACCCTGAACATCTCAAGTGTTCTCACAGCTTTTCTCTTGTGAGCCAAAATGTGGCTGCTGCTCTTGTTTCTAGGGGTCTGCACTGCTGGGTGCAGCAAGTTTTGCTCATTTCTTCTGCCCATCTGAGCATGGAGGAATTTCTTTGCTGTAGAACAATACAGGGGCATTGCTGGGAGAGCTGAGCTTTGGAGACAGTACTGAGGCCCACGTAGGAATTAAGTTTGTGCTTCTGCTGGCAGATCTATGAAGAGGATAAGGCATCCCAGATGCTTGGGCTGAATAGAAAGGAAAAGCCAGTTTTGAAGGCAAAGGAAAATTTTGTGTTCTCCAAAACAAAACCTTTGAAGGTGTTGCCTGGCTGGTACTGTGCATTTAGAAACCGAAAGACACATCACAGAAAATATTTCTTTCCTCCTAAATCTGACTTTGAATTCTTAAGAGTTGACTCTCTTGCAACATTGAAGGTATTTTTCAGGGAACTACAGGTTCTAGAGGATAATGTTGAATTTGTACACCATGGTTGAGAATTTGCTGCTTGTTTGGTATGTTTAACCAGCAGCTTGATTACAGCTGGTGCCATCTTCTTAATAAAAACACAGGGATTACCTTTTGTAATGAAGCAAATAATACATGACTGCCATACTGTGCTGAAGGCTTTGAATGCTTTGGTGGTTTGCAGCTCAAATATTTATATTACTAAAATAAAT